TCTCTAATCCAATTACCTATTAGTTCTGCCTTGGCATTCTTGAACTCTCCTATCCATCAAGATTTGCTACCCTTTCAATCTATTGCCTCCTAATCATAGCAATAATCATTACCTATGTCTGCTGGCTTTGTTATTGTATGAAATACCTGAGATAATCAACTTACAAAGAGAAAAAAGTTTATTTTGGCTCAAAATTTTAGAGGTTTCAGTTCTGTGATGATTGGCCCCATTTCTTTGGGCCTGTGATGAGGCAGCACATCCTGGTGGAAGCCTGAGGCAGAGCAAAGTTGTTTCCTTCATGGCCAGGGAGCAGAGAGAGGAAAAAGAAGGGGCATGGTCCCATTGTCCCCTTCAAGGGCACACCGAAGTGACCTGAAGACCTCCCACCAGGACCTATCCCTTACAGGTTCTAGCACCTCCCAATAGGGTTCAGCTGGAGACCAAGCCTTTAGCACATGCTAAAGACATTAGCCTTGGAGACATTCCAGATCCACACTTTGGCTTTACCCAAGCATGAAACCTTAATTCCTCCATCTCTGCTCCCTTTGCCTGACAATTCTTCTCATTTGGCTAAATCCAAATTTTCACATACTACGACCCACATCTGAGCAGCTAAACAACTGGGGAAAAAAAACCAAACAAAAACCCAAAGCAAACAAAAAGCTCCCCACCATCATCTTAGCTGGTCTCAGTTAAATTTAAGACTGTAAATCCCCAGTGGGCTCTCCACACAGCCTAGCAAGACCACTGCATGAACTGCTGGATTAGCTCTCCTCTCCCAGAGACTGAATATTTCAAACATCTCTTCAATATTCAACTACTACTCGCTTCACACCCCCAGCAACTAATCATTTCCCTGAGAAAATCATCAGAAGAGACCTTCCTCATTTTTTTCTCATCATAGTCTCCTAAAGTTTGTCTTCACGTATCTGTCTTCCCTAGTAGTAAAATGATAAATTCTTCTGGCTCTTAAGGTCACACTTGCCTCTTCTACACTGAATCCCATCCCCTGGAGAAATCTGCTGCCATGACTGCTTGTTTTCACCTGTAACATCCCTTGACAATTCTCTCCAGGAAACATTCAGGCCCACCTAGAAGCATATTTGATATCTTCCATCTCACAGACAATAACAAAGAACCTTGACCTCACATTCCCCCACCAGGTACCAGGAAATGTTACAAAAATTGGATCTATACCTCCACTTTCTCATCCCTTTCCTTGTGGGCCCAACCACTCTGGTTTCACAACTCCACTGAATTGTCCTTATTAAGTTACCAGGGACTCCTCTAAGGCCAAAACCAACAGTCCCAGGCCTCATATCACTCTACTTTTCAGCAGCATCTGACAAATAATCACTCCTTCCTTTTAGTTAAAAAGAGAGAGAAAAAAAGCATTCTTCAGGTAACATACTCATCAGATTTTCCTCCAACTGCCCTAAAAGTTCTCCAGAGCTGTTGAACTCCCTAAGTGACCCCATCCTATATTATGGCATTGAATATGATCATGCATTAATTCCACAGTGAGTACCTCCAGTGTCTGCTTCTCTCCTGAGCTCCACCATTCTACAGCCAACTTCCTGCTAAATTATCTCCACTTGGAGTCTAATTAGGAATCTCACACTTAACTCACCCCCTTTAAATCCGTTCCTTCCCAAGTCTCTCATCTCAGTAAACGGCACAACCATTCGCTTAGCAACAAAACCTGAGATTCATCTTTGACTCCTCTTTCCAACCCAAATCCAATCTATCATCACATTCTATTGGTTTTACCTTTGAAATTGAACAGCTATCCCATGACTTTTTATTTCCTTCTTTTTTCCACAGATAGGGATTGAACTAAGGGCTTCAAACGAGCTAGGCAAGAGCTCTACCACTGATTTACATCTCCAGCTATATCCAACCACTTTTAATACCTCCACAATTATCACCCTACTCTAAATCCTAAGGAGACTGTAATTGACAAGGATTTCTATTCTGACCACTGTAGTATTTCTCTACACTTCAATGATCATGTTACCCTCTCGCCTGAAAACTCCCAATGGCTCCCTAATCTCAATGAGTCAAGGTCCTCACAGTGGCCCATAAAGTCCTAGGAAATCTTGTGCTGCCAACTTCTTTAATCTCATGCTCAGATTTTCCTTCCTCTGCACACTCTGTATACCACCTCTTTCCCATTTCTGTTAAAGTGGGCCCTCCACAAAATTTGAAATTTCCAATATAATAGTATTAAAAAGTGGGGTCTTCTTTCAAAAGATGATTAGGTCAAAAAGGATTACTGCTCTTATGAAAGAGCTTGAAGGGACTGCCCCTACCTACTCTGGTCCCCTAAACCATATGAGGATACTGCAAGAGATGCCATCTCTGAAGCAGGTGGTGTACCTTCATCAGGCAACCAATATGCTGGTGCCTGAAGCTTGGGCCACCCAACCTCCAGAACTGAGAAATGTTTCTATTATTTATGAATTTCCAAGACATTTTGTTGTATTAGTCTGCCCCCACACACTTGCTCCAGTCACATGACTAACTCCCTAACCTCCCTTGGTCTCAGTTCCAATGTCACCACCTTCAACAAACCTCCCAAGTCCACCCAGTCTAAAATAGTTCTCCAACTCATGCACTTTTCTTCTCCATAGTATTCAGTGCCACGGACTGCCAATCCTAATTATTTGTAAATTCCATATTTGTGAATTCACCTACTTGCTAAAATTTGCAACCCTAAAATCAGTACTTGTGGTGCTTCCCATGGTCACTTGTAGACATGTTCAGCTGCTGAATGCACATTCCCAGCTCAAGTTCAACACTGTGCCTTTGTGTTTCAGCTCTCATACTGTAACCAAGTAATTTCGAGGTCTACTTAGTGCCCTGGTTTTCACATTTTTGTGACTTCCCTGTTTGAAATAGCCCCTAGCACAATGCTGAAGTGCTGTCTAGTATTCCCAAGCATAAGGCAGCTGTGATATGCTTGACAGAAAATCCATGTTAGGTAACTTTGTTCAGCCTTAATTTACAGTGCCATTGGTCATGAGCACCATGTTAATGAATCAGTACTAAAATTAAATAAGGTTATCTGTGAACAGAATCATACAAAAAACATGATCACTGATTGGCTAAAAAGAACATGACCAGAGGGTCAGGAATTTAACCCTGTACTTCCCCTAGGAACATAGTATCTAAGATATGACCTTACTACAAATTTACAACCGTGTATGGCACTCACCAGTAATCTGAAAATATATAAAGTGGGTAATACAAGTGAAAGATGAATGAGCAATTCCTGAAACTCAACTGGCCAGTAGTTACAGAAAATATTCAACCTCAGTAGTAATCAAGGAAATGTAAACAAAACAGCCAGGGTTGCTCCCTTGAAGCAATTATTAAGACTTTTTAAATGTGGATACCTTTTGACCAAGAAATAAAACTTGGATCTGTGCAAAAATTTATCAGCAATAGTAACTGATGTGGCAAAATGTGGATACCTTTTGACCAAGAAATAAAACTTGGATCTGTGCAAAAATTTATCAGCAATAGTAACTGATGTGGCAAAATTAACAGCACCAAAACAGTAGAGATCACCTCAGAATCTAAAAAGGATGAGCAAAACAACAGTTGTCCACCCAATGTAATATGTAGTTATAAAAAGGTTGTTCAAAACTATGTGATATGGAAAAATGTCCATTATACAAATGCCACAGTCCGGCTGCAGCAAAATAACGGGCGGGGGGGGGGGGGTGTGACAAACAACTTGTGTAGATTGATACAGGAGTGGAAGCCGTTTATTGTAGGACAGGAGTGGTATATATACATTGCACACAGCTTATCTTAATTAGCATAAACTAGATACATCAGTCAACCAATAAGGAATCTCCACACTTAATGGCTCGCTGGTGTTACTTCACAAACCACTCCCTCTGGCATTTTGCCAGGCGCCATCCTGACTTGTTTACAGACTCTAACATACAAACAAGTCTGATAGGATTTGGGGGGATAGATCCCAGGGTCCTGTACATGTGAGTCAAGCAGTCTACCATGGAGCTACATCCCCAGCCCGTAGGATCTAATTTTTATTGTTTATGTGCATAAAAATATGAAAATTTGGTTATTAGCACTAGATATTAAAATGACCTAGTTTTTCCTTATGAAAAATATGCATTACTTTTATAATCAGAAAAAAAAAAAGAGAAAGCTTAGGGAGTAAATTTGGCAAATAAATTACCAAGTTCTGAGTCTGTGGCAAAGTCCTGCCACCCCTAAACTGTGTGCCACTTTCAACCTGAGTTCAACTCCAATCACTACAGCAGGAACACTGTGCAGGCATTCAAACTTTTAAACGAAACCTGAGAAGTGAAACCTGGAGAGAGAAGCTCAACACTTCTAACCCCTGTGATAACCACTCTACTCAATCCCTGCCCCACAAAACTCATTGACTATATACTATTTTCTGTAAAATGTGACACAAGTTGTCTCACTCACAGGAATGGTGAATTTTAATGAAATAACACTTCATATATTATAGAATCCAACATATAGCAAGCCTCATAACAGAACTGTTAGCTGGTGTCCTACTCTGGTTACAGAAATAAATGTATTGGGAATAAAGATGGTATATTTACAATAACGTGTAAACGTTTCACACATCACAAATAAAGACTACCTCTGCCCTGTTACAGGTCATTTACTGCTCACATAACATTACTCACAGTTCTAGTCAGGTTTCCTGCCATCCATTGTGAGGAGAGGCAGAAGAGATGAGTAGCACTGAGGCAGTCATGTTCTCTTCCTCTAAGAGACAGGCACAGGCCCTTCCGTGGAACCTCATTCACTCCACATGACAGCTTCAGTCTGTATGAGCAGTGTTTGTACTGAATCTAACCAAAACTTAAAATCTAGAAATTTAATGCACCCAACTGTATAAATCTTCAGGAACTAAACAATACTTTTCATCTTTAATGTTCTGAAATCCTCATTCTCCCACAAGTACAAAATGAAACCAACAACAAAAACACATTTCCTGATCATTTTTATTTGTAAAACTGATTCTATGACTCATGGGCAGAATCAAAGGTAAAACCTTCATCAGCTTACATTTTATTCAAGGTTATAACACAAGGTCAGTGTATAAACACTACCTGAAAATACAGTTATGTATTTCTAAGAGCAATAAATATTACACTAAAGAGTTAACAAGCAATCATCAATTCTCAAACAGATATTCATCAAAATGAGGTAAGTCTAATGTGTCATTTGCTAAAGAATTTAATGCTGAAGTGGAAAAAAACTCATCGAAAATATCAGTCTTCATGGGACTCTCCAAGTTTGAGGTTCTTAGGGAGGCATTATTCGTTAGTGAGTCTGGATGAACTTCACATTGATTTCCCTTGGTAGGGCTGCAATAATTATGGTCCTGTTTCAGATGTGTGTTCTGGGGAACATCATTTAATTCACTGGGTACTGGGAAGGGGTTATCTCCCATTTCCAAATATCTGAAGTCAGTTTCCCCATTTTCTGAGAGCTCTGTTGAAATAGTTGTAGGGGACAATAATTCTGCTAAAATTTCTTCATGAGTTTGACCACTATAGGAGGAAACAGGAATAGTGGTACATCCAGATTTATTATCTGCAATATCAATTTGATACTGTAGTTCATTTAACAAGTCTTCTATTGATTCACAGTCATTTGGAGACCCACAATGGGGCACGGGTTCTAAATTTTCACTTGGAAGTGTTTCACTTTGAAGGGAAGACGTAAGAGCAGCTAATTTCCTCTTTTTTGCCTTTAGCTTTTTAAGAAGTTTGAGACGAAGTTTATGAATCTGACCTTCAACTGAGTCTCCATGGTTTGCTGAAGAAACACCATTTTCATTTCTGTGAGAATCATGGCTGAGGTGAACTCCCTGGGAGGCACTTTCACACTTCTTCAGAAGTTCTGAAGTGCTGTTCCCACCAGTGTGCAGATGAACAGCTGTGGTACCTGATGGCAGAGGACCTGGTGGAGGACTGCAGACTGGAGGAGACTTATCTGCACTCTTTCGAGCTTTCTTAGATAACCGGTTAGCTTTTTGGTTTAGACCTTTAGTTTTAAATCCACCAAAATTATTTGCCCCTTTAACTGATGGCTGCAAATCAGTTACAGTGTTTCTATTATGAGCTGAAACACAAGGTGGCATAAAAGAAGCACCTCTGCTTAACAGGCCTTTAACCCAACTTCCCACAAATGGTTTCTTCTGAGTTTCTTTTGGAGGCTGATTCTGTGATGACTTGGCTATTACGGTTTGAGAATCTGCTACAGTGTTTTTCTTCAAATTAGATACCTGAGATGTAGCAAGTTGTTCCGGTTTTATTTTCTCAATTTTTGGTGGAAGAAACTGTTTTAACTCAGTCTCCTTCTCAATTTCTACTGACTTCATTCCCTGTACATGACTAGTAGAATGAATACTGTTCATAGACGTGGTAATTGATGTATCTCCTGAATTTGGCTGCACTGACTGTGTGTTCACATTTACAACTTGTGATGGAAAGCTTAAATCCACAAATTGGGCTTGGGTAAGCTTTTCTTTACGTGGACTAGATGCTGAAGAAGCCGTTAGTGATTCTTGAGATGGCAAAGTATTTGCTTTGCCAAGCCCTATATTTTCTGTCACAGATTTGTTTTTTGATGGGAGAACTTTGGAGTTAATGGGGAAATCTGGGGCAGTTTTCTGGATAGTTCCTTTAAGTGTCAAAGGTAAAATAATATCGTCAATCAAAGTTTTTTCATCCCGATCTTCATGAGCTATAGCTTTGTCCTGTGGAACAGCATGAGAAACAACTGATGATACATGTGTAGGGCGAGTCGCTGAGGACGTTTCTGCTGAGGCAGCCTCACCCACAGAACACCACGCTGGAGATGCTGGTTTCTTCTCACCAAAAGTGTGCTTGTCATTAGTCTTCGGAAGGCGAAGGTGGGTAGCTTCCTTATCTGTCACATAGGATGATTTTCTTTCCCAAATAACAATATGTATCTCTGAAGCAGGAACTTCAAATTTCTCATGCCTTTCAGCACACGGACCTTTTAAGTCATCACATTCTAGCCAACTTCCTGTGGAATGGGAAAGAAAGGCAGCCATTAGACAGTCACAAACCACTAGCCTAGGCTGACTTTCTTCTGGCCTTTTAAACTATTATCACTGAATATCCATCCACTAAAAGAGATCACTCTAAAACAATGCCTTATCCTTGTTACCAGTCTTCTCTGTCAAATTTTTAAGTCCTTATTTGGATGACAAAAGTTACTAATATAAGCAGAAAACTGAAAACCTCGGATAGTTTTCTGGAATAGTTCACTCTCTTTCCTAAAATACTAAAAATAAACAAAAAAATAAATAAAATCAAGACAGCTTTATATTTAACTTGGGGGTTTAGAATACAGTATTGCCTAATTTACCCAAGAAAATCAGAAAATAGCATAAGTTATTTCATATATATGAATTTTCAAATTAATAAAGTTTATTACCTCCAGTAGCAACATTTGCTTCATTTCTCATTTGAGTCTTTTATCAAGTGAGAATTGATATCAATATCATTAATATCAATACTAATGGCTATACAAAACTGTGAGTGTATTTAATGTATGACAAAAGAGTTTAAGGGCTGTGAGTAGTCTACAGCAACAAACACAAACCCTTGTCAAGAGTTCATTGCGTAGTTAAAAAATAAAACCAATAAAAAAAAAAAAGAGTTCATTGCTTACAGCACAACTAGTGGTATGACAGGAAAAGAAGTCATTATGCAGTGGACTAAAGTGTGAATAAGGAATAAGTTTAAACTACTCCTCAGAAAAGAAAGGGAAAAAAGGTCAACTATTAGAAGAGCTATTACCAACAAACAAATAAATAAGTAAATGGAAAATAGCAAATGCTGGCAGAGACATGGAGAAACTGGAACCTTCGTGTATTGCTGGTGGGAATATAAAATAGTGAAGCTGCTGTGGAAACAACCAGTTATTCCTCCAAAAGTTAAACAGAATTATCGTAAGACTTGGCAATACCACTAGTAGGAATAAACCCCCCAAAACTGAAAACAGGGAGTTAAATACCTGTCCACCAGTGGTCATAGCAACCATTTCATAAGTTAAAAGGAAGAAACAAATTTAATGTTCAGCCTTATAAAAGAAACCTGGCACGCTACATGATGAACCTTGACAACAAGCTAAATGAAACAGATCATACATAAAATGACAAATACTGTGTGGTTCCACTTACATGTGGTACCTTGAGTGTCGAATTCCTAGAAACACAGAGTAGAACAGTAGTTACCCAGAGCTGGGGATGCAGGGAGGATGGGGGTTAATGTTTCATGAGTTAAGAGTTTTGGTTTAGGATGAGGAAGAAGTTCTGGAAGTGGATGGTGGTGATGGCTCTACAAAACTGTGAATGTACTTAATGCCAATGAACTGTAAACTTTAAAAATGTTAGGATGGTCAATTTTATGTTATATTTTACCACAATAAACAAATACAAAGCATGGCTGAGAAGTAATAAAGATGACCAGATGGTGACAGGTGATGAAGGTTACAGGAAGGTGTGTTTATTCATTTATAGTTTACATATTACACACATAATGATCTGAGAAAAGATAACCACAGGTTTGGATAAGTAACAGCTTTTCAATTGCCAACAATTACTTATTTATGCTTTTATTATTGATTTCCCACTCTATCTCTCAATACCCATACATCTATATGAAATGAAAACAGACACAAAAAGAAAAATGGTGTCGGAATTCTGACATACCAAATATGTAGCTTACTCTGTTTCTTCAAACTCAAACATGGTATTAAAGCATGATGTCAAACACTACAATATGTAGTATAAAAACGTTTGAGAAATATAACTAACTGTAAGCACCCAAACCACCACCCTATATTTCTTCAAGGGAGCACATTATTTTAGCAGCAGAAATGACAACACAGTATTAACACTGCAAAAATATGTTCAGAGACAAACACAGAAAGTGCACTGTTTCCTTTCCCTGTTCTTTAAACATATGCATTTATCATTTTTGCAACAAAAATTTCAAATTATGAGGAAAAGGGAAAGTTAAGAAAGCATAAAGAGATCTTTCAGCAACTACCACTTTAGGCCAATTTAGTTGCTAATACACTGGCCAATTTCTAAGATATATCAGTTAGTAACTACAACATGTCATTAGACATTTGTGACTACAAATGTCTACGACAAACAAGGTCTAAGATCCAACATATTAAAAAAATTCCCCAAAGAGAAGAATTAAACACAAGATTAAAATGCTTATTAAAATATAATATCTAATACAAAGTAAAATGAGTGACAAGTCACAGAACGGAAATATGAATTCTCTGATTTACCAAAAAGAAAGCAAAATATACTCAGATCTGCTAACCTCTCAAATAAACAAAAACAAAATCATTCACCTAAATATGTGGTTTATGTGGATATACACTATAAACTACCTGAATACTTTTTATTCTCTACCAATTAAAACTTTGAGACTCTTCAGCTTGCCTACATCAATGATTTTCTACCATATGCATACCAAAATTACCTGGGGAACTTTTTTAGTATACGTGTTGCCAAAGCAAGCACTCACCTGGGGAACTTTTAAAACAATACTGACATTTGGGTCCAATGCCCAAGACTCATTTGTTGATATAGGGTACAGCATGGCAATTTTTATAAGTTAACCAAATGATTCTTATATGTCACCAGAGTTGGAAACCACACTGTACCAAAAGTGGATTTCTCATTTCCTGGAATACACCAAAAGTTACAATACTTCCATCCAAAGCCTGATGCAGGGTAAAACTTCAAGGTAATAATGTGAGTTTTAGTTTGCAAAGTGCTTTTGTGATACAGTTTTGCATCATCCTTCCAAACCACCTCCAAGAAAAATATCAAATAAGAAAATTGCCCAAACAATAGAAAACAGCTATAACAAAGTAATTCCTCACCGAGGGCCTGAAAACACTTTACTGGGATTGAATTATCTTGTTTTAAGACAAAAGTGAACATTTTGAGGAAAACACACCTAGCAGTAAAACACACTGAACAAATGGAAGGGGGTGAACTTCCAAAATTTGTGAACTGTATTTATTTGGTTTTCCATTGAGAAATTTAGTCACTTAAGTAAAGGCTTCACATTTTAGCTGTTGGCCAACTATGGACTTCAGATGGCTATTTCAGCAACAGAAGGGCTACACAGTATTATGTTTAATAGTTTTAGAAATAGACATTCACTTTTATTTTGTTTATACAAACAATTATAGCAAAATATAAGGAATATTTTTACCATTATTAAAAATCTTCAGTATGATATACTTTCTTTTTAGAAGTACAAAGTATCTAAAAAGTTAAAATTCCCACCATTCATTTTTCTATATTAAACACAGATTACATGTAACACATGTAATTTAAAAAATAAAAGCAAGAATATTAAACAGAAAAAAAGCAAACTTCAAACCAACAATAGTATCCGATCTCTATGTAAGAAAGAAATAAGAATGTGCATCATATAGATATGTGAAAGAAGAGTTAGGAAGGACACTAAAACCAAACTTTTAACAGAAGGGGAAAAAAGGCAGAAAAATTAAAATCCAAGGGAAGAGAGAAAAAAAGTCAAAGCATAAGTTGCCTTTTAAAAAATAAATAAACCATCAGAGTTTAGTTTGCATGCCTACTATCATAAAAGAAAACATTTCAATACTTACCATCAGCATCTAAAATCCAAGTTATAAAATGATTCTTTGCTTGGTACTGAATTACGGATGTTGCTTGATAAAGACAGCCCTCAAAATGAAATGCATAGTGCTCCATGTCATTCTGTGGTAAGCCTTCTACGAAGTGCAACATGAATATGGGAGATACTCTGTGGGGAAGAAGGGAAGAGAAGTCAAATTTAAAGCCATGTGTCAGCTTATGCAAGAGTCTAAAGTGAACCAGTCAGTTACACATAACACTTTCAAGGCTAACTAAACTGATTTTTCTTGAGCACCTCCAGATGTGTGCCTTAATTAGAAATGAAGAACTTGCTCTAAGAAGTATGTAACACTAAACCCTTTTCAGATTGCTATCACTGACAGTTGGAAGCCATCATGCAATAAGAGCAACACAGACCATTAAACAAAAATTGCTCTGTGAGCAGCAATGTTGCTTTGGCTTAAAGAAAATCTCATGGTTGCTACTTTGTAAAATTCAAAGGAAAAAGTCCAGATCATTTAAAATTTTCTTTGGCATCAAGTGCCCAAATTATTTACTTTTGTTAGGTGAATAGGCAACACATGAAAATAAGGTAATTAAACCTAAGACAGTCAAATAAATATTAATTTGGCCTATTTCTTTCTATCATCTCAGGAAGCAATCTATCAAATTACAATTTCTACTTAGAAAAAAATTTAAATTTGACTTAAAACATACTGGTTGATTTATTGTAAACTTCAAGATATTCAAAACTTTCAAAAATACATTTTTGTTATACTGCAACATGTCAAACTAGAAAACAGAACCCACAGATGGGCCTCAAATAACTAAATCTAACAAAGCTATCAGGATTTAAGAAAAATGTTGAATATCCTTTTTCCTAATATTTAAACAGCTGTCAAGACTTACTTAGCTTATCAAAATTTATTCAGCTGAAATGAACTTGAAGCAATGTCCAAAATGTAAGATTATTCATACTGACAAGGGATAATTTGCAAATTATCCCTTGTCAGTCATTTTGTTAAAGAATAATCAAGTCCTCAAAATTTAAGAACCTTAGAAATACAAAGTCCTGAAAACTGTAACACTGAACCCTTTCCCACTGTTTTAAAATCATAACTATTTTCACTGAATCCAAGACATCAATGATTATAAAGTATACCACTAAATTATACCACGCCATCAATTTTGGGTGGGGGGGCGTGCAAGGGAACCAGGGATTGAACCCAGGGGGCGCTTAACCAATGAGCCACATCCCAGCCCTTTTATACTTTAATTTTGAGATAGGGTCTCACTAAGTTGCTTAGAGCCTCAATGAATTGCTGAGGCTGGCTTTGAACTTGCAATACTCCTGCCTCAGCCTCCAAAGCTGCTGGGCATGCCATCAATTTTTAAACATACTTTTATTTCACATGTTAAAATATGAAGTATATGTCTTTGAACTAATACTTCACAGTAAAACTACAGACGTGTTCACAAAGCTACAAATGCAGGCTTGAAGCACCTGCCTCTTTTATTACTATTAAAAAATTTTAAAATTACTAATATTTGGTTCCTTTGGACTCATACAATATCTGTCAAAATATCTTCTGAGGCTAGTTACTATAGCAATCTCTTTATAATCCTACACTAGGAAGTCTCACCAGTTTCCTGCCTTTGTGTGATTTATACATGGAAAATGTTTTAAGATAATGTATACATGACCACTTGCCAGATTTTTATGCTTTTTATACATTTTAAGCATTCTAAACTACTCTTTTGTAAGTTGGTAAAAGTAAAAACTGCCAAGACCAGTATGCAAGAGGCCTTGGGTTCAATCCCCAATACAACACGAAAAATAAATCGTAGCTGGGTACAATGGTACACATCTGTAATCCCAGCAACAAAAGAAGCTGAGGCAGGAGGACTGAAATTTAAGGTCAGCATGAGCAACTCAGCAAGACCCTATTTCAAAATAAAAATTTTAAAACGGATGGAGATGTGGCTCTGGTAGAGTGCTTGCCTAGCATGCATGAGGTACTAGGTTCAATTGCCAGTACCACTTTAAAAAAAAGACTAACCCCCCTCTTAGTGAGCTTCCTTAGATATAGTAGGTAAATTCCTCTAAAGTCAGCTTTGAGATCTAGAGTTCTACAAGGCAGAAATTTGATTTTCTTATGGGGGGGAGGGAAAGATCAGAGTGATGAAACAAATTTTAAAATATCTTTTTATATACTATTCTCTCTGGAATTACTGCACCAAAGTTATCCAGGGCCTAACAGAGACTGCAATGATGCCAAGCAGAAATATTATTCTTTTTTTTTTGGCAGTACTGGGAATTAAACCCAGGGATGCTTTACCACTCAGTTACATCCACAGTCCTTTTATTTTTTGAGATGGGGTCTTGCTAAGCTGCTAAGACTGGTCTTGAACTTGTGATCCTTCTGTCTCAGCCTCCTGCCACTGGGATTGCAAGCATGTGCCACCATGCTTGGTTAGAATCAGTTTTATTACCATTTCACCTGAACAGAGGCAAACCCCTCAGAATATCCTCCATATTACTTTCTCTTTCCTATTTTTTAGTTGTGGGGATCAAATGCAGGGCCTCACACATGCTAAGCATAGGATTTTTCACTGAGCTATACCCCCATGCCCTTCAAACTACTTTCTGTAATTATAAAACTGCGTAAACTCCAAATACCAAATCAATTACAATTTTCTTTGTATGTGTTCGTGTGTGTCTGTGTGTGGAGGTGGGTATACAGAGGATTGAACCCAGGGCCTTGTGCATGGGAGGCAAGCACTCTACCAGCTGAGCTATACCCCCAGCCCTTCCCTCTGTATTTTAACATGTCTGAGACTGGGATGCATCTTATCATTGATGGCACAGCTAAACAGGCAGCATTTCTTTCTTAATGGCATTTGAAAAGATGGTACAATTTATAAACACTGACATCTTGGAATCAATCAAGTAATATGCTTCCTCCTCCCCCTCCTCTTATTCATTTTCCTCAGTGGGTTCCCTAAAAGTCACTGTATTCTCCTACACACAACTCCAGTTTGTTTTACATTTCCAGCCTCTCAGGTGAGGGCAGAACTCTGCCTCCATGTTTTGTTCTCAAGCTTCTTCCTACACTCAATGCTAGAGCATCAGTTAGAGATGATGCTCAGAGTTGTAGAGAACAAGTTAAGGTTCTGCCTGAACCATGAAAAAACTGGATGGCATGGATTAACAGAACTGGAATCAAAAGTCAACAAGAAATTTCAAGCTAAGACACATTTGCCTTCACCTAACATGGGGCTGATTTCCTCTTCTTATAAGGACCTTTTTTTCTTTTAAGAAAAAAAGCACAAAAGTATTGTGTTAACCACTGTACCCAAAGACAGCAAAGGAAATGCAAGTCTCCATTACGCAGAGAGCAGCCACATCTTGCACTAATGGCCTAAAGTAAAAGTTTTTTTTTTTATTTTCAACCCAACTAATGAAGTAATTCATATTTTATAAAATGCAAATCTAAGCTGGGTGTCGTGGTACCTGCCTATAGAGCCAGTTTTTCAGGAGGCAGGAGAATCACTTGAGTATGAGCACATGAGTTCGAGACCAGCCTAGGAATATAGCAAGACCCCCATTAAAAAAAAAAAAAAGTTAAAAAATACCAATTAAAAATGTGCATATATGTATATCTGAACTGTAATAATGTAGGCTTTAGGTAATATATATATATATAAAATTTCATTACATTTCAGGTCTACTATATTATTTCAACTATTTTAGAATCTGATAAAAAATATTAATAAAGTCAATTGCAATTCAAATAATTAGAACCAGATCATATTCACTGTACTAAGTAAATACATCTTCAGAAAAATTTAACCGGGTTGGGCACAGAGGTGCACATGTAGAGTCCTAGCAATCTGAGAAGCTCAGGAAGGATTGCAATTTGAGGTGGGCCTTGGCAACTTAGTGAGACCCTCAGCAACTTATCTCAAAATAAAAAACAAAAACAACTGGGGATGTAGCTCAGTGGTAAAGTGCCCCCGAGTCCAATTCCCAGCACACACACACACACACACAAAAAAAATCTGCTAAACAAAGTTTATAAACTGTTCTTTAGAGGTAATCAAGGATCTTACAAATTAATAAATAAACATTTTCTTTCAAACAATGAAGACTTTAGAAAATCTATTTTCCATATTCTATTCAAAATTTTGTAGGGGAACCTGCAGTTACTTATAAAAAGAAACGTTAAATCATTTTATTAGACCTGAATAAGTTCAGTAAGCACAGAACAGAAATATCTTACTTCTCTTCCTACCACTCCGCCAATCTTGACAAATAGTTGCTAAAAACAAACAAAACCATTAAGACTGAAGTTCATGTAAATAAGTTTTTAAAATGCCAACCAAGGAGAACTAAACTCTTAAAGGAAATTCATTTCAAAAGCTTGAGAAGTAAAATTAAATCTGATTCTAAGATCTTGGTGGTTCCATGTCAGTGTGCTCTGAATATAATTCTAAATAATTTACTTAGAAAAAAATAGCAGATGTGGATCAGACAGACATTATTCACCTGATTTATCAATGGATTCTTTTCCTAATGGGGACATCACATTACAGATATGGATTATCTAAGATAAGATATTTGGGGAATTTACAAGACTATCAGTCTTTGGAATGCTGTATGATTAAATTACTCACAGTATCGTGATGGACTTAATTATTTTTAAGTTACCTCTAACAACTATATTAAATTTGTTTCTAAATTCCATTAGACACCAACAAACCAAGTTATACAAAGTAAAAATGCTACAAAGGATTTGTATAAAGATCTTGTCATTTATAATTTAAGTGAAATTTTACATGTGTTCGATTTACTTTTGAAGAATACAGGAAATGTCCACATTATAAATTTTGCTTATACATCAGCTCAATGGAACTCAAAACACATTTTACACTGGAATACGTTTTTACCTAAAGGATATCTTTCCAGATCAGAACATGAATGTTTAAATAAAGCAATTTATGTATATAATTAAAAAGTGTACGTTGCAAAGTAACCAATTAACAGATTAAACAAAGAACAGAATGAATCTATCCTCAATCCTGAGGCTTAAGAAAAAGTAGATATAAATACTAGAAAAAACTATATACACCAAGATGCCTTAAGCAGCCCAGTGAACCAATGCAGGACGCAGACAGTCATGCTCTGCTGCCTTTCTACCCATCTTATCATCCAACGAAAGGGTTTACATAGAGGATCCCTCAACATTTGGATCTCAAAACTTGGCCACCAGAAAGGCAAAATAGGTTACTGACTTCTGGTTGAAGACAGCTCCTTGTTTCCTTGTTTTGCGTCCCACTCAGAAGCTCTCAAATGACAGCAAAGGACAAAAAACGGTAATAATCCAAAAGGGCAAAAGAAGAGAAAGGGCACTGAACAAACAAGCCAATAAATATTCAGGGGACAGCATACAGAGAAATGGCCCCTTATATAGCAGAATGGGTAAAGTGATGACACAGCACTACAGAGCAGGCATGCTGATGAGAAGAGCTTATCCGTCCCGCTCAACTCCCAATCGATATCCACAGGCAACAGATACTGTGGAATAGGGGGACGAGGCCTAGGCTAAAAACTGGAACAGGGAGTAAAAAAACCAGGAAGTATAAAGAGCATTCCTACGCACAAGGCCCGGAGAGAGCCAGTACAGTCTGGAGCAAAGAATGGAAGGCAGCAGGAGAGAGGCTTCCAGGAGGGAAAAAAGGGAAGGATTCAAAAATTTTAAAGTATTGAGTGCTGGAAATTTATTATTTGAAGTATTTGGGGAGGGAGACCCACAATATACGATAAAGTAAATGAAAACGTTGAATAAAGAATTATAAGAGAATATGTAAAACAGTGGATGTGAAACCGATGTGATTCTGCAATCTGTATACGGGGTAAAAATGGGAGTTCATAACCCACTTGAATCAAATGTATGAAATATGATATGTCAAGAACTATGTAATGTTTTGAACAACCAACAATTTAAAAAAAAAAGAATTATAAGAGAAATAAAATATAACCATGTATACTGCTTGGCTGGAGAGGGAATAATATATGTGTATTAATAATAATGCAACACCGAATACTGGTTTAACCAAATACAAACACTTGGAGGAACCAAGAAAGGCAAAACAGAGAGATAGGGCCCAGGTGCTGATGCAGGAACTCTCACTCTCAACTACTTAAAAGGTGAACAGGCCCCACTGCAGCAGAAGCAGCCATCATTTTAAAATGTCAAAGTAACTACCATCTTAAAAAAAAAATAATGTTCAATATCCATAAAGGGAGAAAAAAGGCAAAGAGAAGGAAAGAAACTAGGAGAGCGGGATCAATCACCTTAAGCCAGCAGTACATGGTATTTCACAGCTGCTTATACCCATTAAACAGCTGGTCCAGGTGAAATACCAGTGTTCCTATAAAGACAGGCATTTGGCAATTCATAAAGATCTATTAACTCAAACTTCTGAGACAGGTTTAGTTGCCATTTTGTACTCTACACACACACACACACACAAAAAAAAAAACGCATATCTACTTTCATCTTATTTTTTAAATAATGAGGTAATTTTAACTCACTTTTCCAATACCATTTTTCTTATTTGTGATTTACTGTTGCAAGCATTACATGGGCCAAAATGGGCAGCATTAAGTGGGTGCCACTCAGAGATGACATTTGTAAAGGTGACCAAACTCTTCATACACCTATGAAAAAAAAAAAAAAGACAAATTCATTTATGTTAAATTCATTACATTAATCTACACCAATGTCTAAAATAACTTCATTTGTTTAGTCATACTTTCTTGTTTTCCTGAATCATGTATTAGTGTGGTAATTTTCCTCCCTATTCTTTGTTGTAAGATATGTAAGAATGTTTAGCATCATCCTGGCCTCTCTATTCCCCAGATGTCAGTATAGCCCCCAGCTACAGCAGCCAAGGTCTCCAGACACTGCTAAATGCCCTACTGGTGGGTGGGCAACAGAGCCCCTTGTTAAAAAAACCACCATTCTTGGGCTGTCGAATATAAAGAACTCGCTGCTTATTAAACTCAATCTAGCTATATGTTACTGACAACCCAAAATGAAAAAGGGTATCTTCTTTGTGTGTGTGTTTTACTGGAGATCGAACTCAAGGACGCTCTACCACCAAGCAATATTCCCAACCCTTTTTTAAAATTTTTATTTTGCGGAGACAGTCTGGCTAAATTGCTGAGGCTAGCCTCAAACTTGTGACCCTCCTTGCCTCAGCCTCCTGAGTAGCTTACACCACCAAGACCAAATTGTATCCACTTTAATAAGCATTTTTAATTTAAAAAAAAAAAGTTACTTATTACCAAAGAGCAATGGCTGTTAACAAAAGATAAATTCTCAGAGAAGCTAATATTTTAAATGCAAAGCAACAGAGAAGTATTAACAAATACATCGACCATGTTCTGCTAAATTCTTCACTCTCAAAGGTACTGTTTAAGCAAAGCCTCCTTTTTTTTTTTTTTTTTCCTTTTGGTAATGGGAATTGAACAGAGGGGCACTTAACCACTGAGCTACATCCCCAGCCTCTTTTGTATTTTATCTACAGATAGGGTCTCCCTGAGTTGCTTAGGGCCTTGCTAGCTGCTGAGGCTGGGTTTGAACTCGTAATCCTCCTACCTCAGCCTCCTGAGCCACTGGGATCAGAGGCATGCACTACTGTGCCTGGCCAAAGGCTCCTATTTTTAATTTGTAAAAGACAGTTTGTCTAAACAAATAAGTGTTAATGCTTGCCATGACAGCTGCCATTTCTGAGCACTCACTATGTGCAAGGCAAGGCACATTACTACATAGTTTTCTTCCAAACAACTCTTTAAGCAGTCAATGCTGCCCTTACCCCATTTTACAGAGGATGAAAACTGCAATTCAGAGGGTATTGATAAACGTGAGTCTGGAGTTCCAAATCCAGGCAGTCAGCAGATGACTGCAAAGGCCAGTTTTTTAACTGCGTTTTTCTAAACCAAAGCCCTTAACTGACACAAAAACCAGCAGCACAAAATGAATGGACCACAGTCTTCCTTCAGCTTACATGAAAGTAAGTTCTAACTGTAAAACATTTAATGAATCGTTACTTGACTTTAGTTTTTCTATTATACTTGCTTTCACTTTTAGAGATTATTTTAAAAACAAATTGCAAAGTGTCTGGTGGATTCTTCCCTTGAAGTTCTTGAGCTCAGTCAGGATGTATGCAATGATATCATAAAAGTTGCAAAAAGACCCAACTAACTGACCCTTTCTTATGTGTATATATATCATCTCTCTAACTAGTAATCTGAATTTAGCCAGGATAGAAATTATTTCTAGTGGCTAGGTGAGTTCCTAGCACACAGAACATAATGAAAAACTGTCAAAATATTATGAAGAGGGCTGGGGATGTGGCTCAAGCGGTAGCACTCTCACCTGGCATGCGTGCGGCCCGGGTTCGATCCTCAGCACCACATACAAACAAAGATGTTGTGTCCGCCAAGAACTAAAAAAATATTAAAATTCTCTCTCTCTCTCTCTCTCTCTTTAAAAAAAAATATATTATGAAGATGCACATTCTAGGAAAGCTATGATTAAGCTGATTCTAATCATTAAAATTGTTTATATATTATTTTTAACCTAGGGAGTGATTACAGGAGCTTACTCCAGTAAGCAAAAAAAAAAAAAATCTTTACAGGTCAGAAAGGCCTGAGTGTGACTCCTAGTTATGTCACTTTACTAGTGTGTCCTTTTGGGTACCACCTAACTTGTTTCAGGCTTGAATGTCTATAACTGTCAAAGAAGATGCTATGATCTTAATCTCAGAGTTTTTGTGAGAAAACCAGATGGTTTATACAGTTCAATGCCAAAAAACTTGGAAACTGGTATTTGCCTTCATCACCACTTGCTTATACAAAATTATTCAAGTCCTAATATGAATAACACATTAATTTTCACCCTGTTCTAGTTTTTAGCTGTTTTTGTTTTTTTTTTTTTTAAATAAAGACTTTCTGTTGCCTGTCCTCTCCAGAGCATTCTCTCAGCCACAGATCTCTTGGATTGCTCCTTAAATGCCTACAGAGAGCCTCATGTTTAAATAAATGAATATCTAAGCAATATTCTACTCCCACGTCTTTATTTATTTAATAACTTACTAGTGAGTTAAAGAAAAGAGGAAAAGAATTTATCTTTGTTGTAATAATCCGAATAAATGACCAACAGGACCAGTTTGGTATTCTTTTTAATTTCCAGCCTGCAATACTTTATCCAGGTATCAATGTAGCAAGAGTATCATGTCAAATGAACACCCACCCTGACTCTTCTCCTTGTGTGGCAAGTATATATGACAGCAGAAGAAATCTGCAATTTTTCTCTTCTCCATGCTTCCTCCCAAGTGCCAATCTTAGGGCCCAGAATGTCACTCACTAAGGCTCCTAATTCTCACCTAGAGGACTCAGGGATGCAGAAAGAATGGCTGAGACAGTTCAGGTGCAGGAGGACTCTCATAGGACTAAGAGCAGGAACAGGGAAGTGTAGGTTATCTGTAAGATGCTGCCAGACTCTAAGAGCCTGAGATCTGTTTATATGATTAAAAGACTAAAGTTAATGAACAAAGAAATGCCCTAGCTTCCAACAGAGGAGTAAAGAAAACACAGTTTCAAAGAATTCTGAGTGGTATTCTTAGCTGGGAATCTGAAGTGCTTCTCAGTTTTCCCCATGTCCTTCTAAATAAATTCTTGAGAAAACTCCTATTAGCTGGGCACAGTGGCGCAGGCCTGGAATCCCAGTGACTCAGGAGAGGAGGAAGGATCACTAGTTCGAGGCCAGCCTCAGGAACTTAGCAAGACCTTCAGCAACTTAGTTAGAACTGTCTCAAAATAAAATAAAATCTGGGGATATATAGTTCAGTGGTAAAGTGCCCCTGGACTATATAAAAAGAAAAAAGAAAAAGCCTATTAGTACTCTCTCAAATCATAAATTTTTAACCCTTCCAGTTTAAAGCAGCAGTTTGCTTGCTAAAACTTGTCCTTTTAACCTTAGTAGTAGAGAGAGACCTTAACATGTGGTGGGAAATTTTGTCAAGGGTAGAACTATAGAGAGCAAGTGCTGGTTTAGGGGACAAAGTTTTATTCAAATTACATTACTCAGAACCATTTCAATAGAATGAATTCATTTAAGGAAAAGAAAAAAAAACTAACCTGTTTTGATACCGGTGCCCACACTGTGAACATTCAAAGTCCCAAGAAAAAGAATATGTGAAGAGCTTTTCAATGTGGGGTTCTATTTTTAAGAGCAAGGGAAATGCGAACACAGGGCTTTCCATATCACCTTTCAAGAACAATAAAAAATATATATATATATTACTCTTACTTTAAAACTGCAAAAAGCAAACTCAAATAATGAACTGTTATCTTTTCTCACTGCATTTATAGTATGAATATACATGTATACAGTCTGATAGTTGGAGGGGAGTTTTAAAACCATTTTTTTTTTTCTAAAAAATGCCCAGCACAAATTTAATTATCACCTCAGTTGCTTTTGTTTTTCTTGGTGGTAACATTTATGAAAACTTGAGACAAAAACAAAAGATCCATACTGTCTTCTCACATCTTTCTATTATTTCTCATGAAAAAAACTAGTGAATGCTAGCTTCCAGCTTTGAGATCAGCAAGTCAGTTAACAGGAAGACTCACACTGCTCTCACAGTCACATACCAATTGTTTTCCTTCCTCAGGGAGCTTAGATGGCCCTCCCTCCCTCCCTCCCCAAAAGAGCCCTCTTTCACCATCTAGTTCTCCCCCAAGCCTGTGACTATAGCTGTCTAGAACATGGCCAGGAACAGTCACCTTGGCAGGACCACAAGGCAGAGGGTAAGTGCTATTGCGTGAGCATGTTCTATAAATATCAGTAGGTACAAAAGCTATTTTAATAGTCACCTTTGTAATAGTTCCACTGCTATTTTTGTACAAAAACATATAAAATCAAAACAAAATATTTTTGTAAGTAGAAATACAAATAAATCTCCTAGAAATGAAAAATGTAACACCTTGAGAACAGTAAAAGTCTGTAAAAAGTCATCAGGCTTTAAATGCTTACCTTATCAAAACTAATTATTAACTGAAAAAGCAAACCATTTATACTTCCTGACAACATAAAATCCTCAAATTTAAAATAAAATTTTCAGTGAATCAAAACATCATAAAAGAGCTCAAAACTGTTAATTAGTTACATGATGGCAGACCATTTGAGATAACTTAAATAGCCCCTAAGTTGATCTTTATTATTTTTCCTCAGATTACAAATTTTACTACAGAATATATAATACCAAAACCTCAGTTTAAATCTTATAACCTTCTGCCTAAATTAGTTAAGTGGTGTCTTTTTCTCTAGAATCAAACACCAGTTCCTCAACCCAACTCTTAACCTAGTTTGCATATGTCCCTAAAATACCTCCACTTGCCAAGATGTAAACCTTTCAATGACTCTTTCTGTACAGCTATTCGAGTTTTCTTGTTAATTGCTCATTGATAATATCAGGCCACTTCCCCCCACCCCAATCAGGGTACCTGTCTTCTTAATAAACAAAAGTTCTAATATATCCTGGATATTACTTCTTTGTTCTATCCTTGCCCAAAAGTTTCAAAATTTAAGGGGTATTTACAAATTTTTTCCATCTTATTTATAATTTTTCCCCACTCTGAAGTTATATATATATATGTCCAAAGTTTTAGAACCCTGCTTTTTTACACTTTGGTCTTTAAAGTTTCTTTCCAACTATGCTGTGAAGTAGAGACCCAATGGTCCTCCTGTATCAGGAATCAAAATTACTCTTTACATTGACATAAATAAGCAGAAACTATAACAACAGTAGCTTCTACTTCTTTTAAAAAAAAATTTTAAAAGTGATGATGAAGAAATGGACACTGGAGGAGGAAAACACCAAATTAAAGAGAGTTATCTTTGTGGAGAGATAAGGAAGAACCGGGGAAGTATATAAAGGGGACTACAGTTGTATTTGTAACATTATATTTCTTAAACTTCAGGGAGGGAAAGCAAAGAGAACAGTATACAATGTGTTCTTTTAAAACAACAATCAGGATGATAAAGGAGCTGATCTGGAAAAAGTTAACCAACATTCAGGGTCAGTACAGATTCTACTTGTCTTTATTACTTTGAAATAAATGCTAATATTTGGAATGACAAGACACAGATGGCAAGATTTTAAAGTGCTCTCTGAAGCAGATTAGGTTTCATTAATAAGGTTTTAAGTTTTAATGTAGCACCTACCACTACTGAGTAGGTAGAGTATAAATAAGAGAGGACTTTAGCATTCTAGAAAAGCTCCACCTGCTCAGTTATCATGATTGCACACAATAATATTTAATTTTTTTTTCTTCATAGAAAACCCCCAAGGACAAGGGGGCACAAGAGATGCAATTTGCTTCAAATACAATTTTCAGTGATAAGAAGGGTGGTGATTCTGATTAGGGCAGAAACACCTCTTTTAGTCACACCTCAGGTTACCCTTTGGGGGGAGATGGGATGTGGAGCCCCTCAATTTGTATTCAGAGATGCTTTGGAAAAGGCTCGTTTGAAATAGGTATTCATGCAAAACTTCTTTGTGAGGAATAGGGTGGACTACAAAGGAGCCTGGTGAAGTTTTAGGGTGATAGATCTATCATGAATGGAGTGATCATTATACAACTGTATACATTTAAAAGGTTTTAGTATATGTAAATCATACTTTGATAAAAAGAAAAAATATGTATCCCACTGGAGATCCCACCTGATGATAAACGAAAACCATTCTTTAAACCAAAAGGAAGTTATGCCAGAGACTGGCATATAGAAAACCTGTGTATTTTAAGTGGAAGGCAAACTCATATGTAAAAGTCTATGAAAAATTAAAGAAAACTAGGGGGTAGACTGAGACAAACAAGTAGGTCAAAAGCTGTCAGGTATGGACAAAGACATTGCTTCTAGATACCATATCGAGGCCTGATGAAATAAATGCCATTCACTGAGAGGAAAAAATAGAAGGCACTATTGCATAATTGAGTATAGGTAAATACTAATACAAAGCACCATACATTATTAATGGAACAGTTAATACACAAAAATAAAAAGGCACTCCTCGCAAAAAAAAAAACAAACAAAACACCAAACACCAGTGGCTCCTTCTTGTAATACTAAAAGCATGTAGAAAGATCTGGATGGAGACTCTGGTTTCCTTGCTTCACTCAGCTCCCACAAGGCCAAAAATCAATTAACAGAGGACAAAGCAAGTTCCACTCTTATACCCTTTTTAAAGATGAAAAAGCTTTCCTGAAAGGTCTTCAGCATAGTTCTCCTAATATCCCACTGGCCAAAATTGTACCACATGTCCATTCTTAGAATCCACTGGTAAGAGAAGAATTACTAGACTGGTTTAGATCTGATTCTTAACCCTACCCACATATATGAGCCCCAGCATCAATTTAAAAGTAAATTTACTTTTAAATTCCCTACATATTTCATAATGCACAGTCAAGTTTGAAAACGTTGAATTAGCCTATCGGGGTAAGAACTGGAGAAGCAACCAAGGGTGTGCCCTCTAAATATTCACCTGGCTCTGAGCACTGCATCCACTCTCAAGAGGTAGAACACCAACCTGCAGATTTATCTAAACAGCTATACACACCAAAGATTCAATCAGTGGTAGACTCCTAAGATAAACTAGCCAGATTCCTGCTCCCAAAGAATCCGAACATCCAACCAATATTATACCTCCTTATGATGTACACATTTCTATGATAGATGAGTTAAGGTACATCAATTACTTACCCAATGTGCATCTAAGCTGGGGCTGCAGTTCAGTAAAAATTTCGCCTCTGACTTCATTCAGACAGGTCTCTATCTCTGTGAATATTTTTGAAGTAATTTTATACTTTCCATCTAGAAATACATTTAGAACATTATCATCAAAAAATTTCTCATCAATGTATATCTTTCTATATAAAATTTAAGACATTAATAAAAATGGAAGTTTATTAATTTGTGCAAACAGAGATAAAAGGCAAACATAAAATTTCAATCCTTCTCTACAGTATAATATATAATTCCCTTTTTATTTGTTATCAGCACAGCATCATTAGCATTTACTACCTGAATAAAAACATCACCCAAATAATCAGAGGTCTAGTAAAACATAGGTTGGGATTATCAGTGTTTCACATTTCGGGTTGAATTTTGTTTTGTTTTTGTTTTAAGATTTTGGAATATCTGCATATACATTTTGGGGAGAAGAGCTAAATCTAACCATGAAATTCATTTATTTTTACACAGAGCCTGAAGTTAATTCTAAAATACTGTGTTTTGACTATGACCTGTCACATGAGGTCAGGTATGAAATATTCCTACTTTGGCATCATGTTGGTACTCAAAAGTTTCAGTTTGAGGGCATTTTAGATTCAGATTTTTGGATTAAGAATATTTAACCTTTAAGATATTTTTGTCCATCTCTGAAACAGCTGAAGCTCTCTTTATATGCAATTATTACTTACACTAGAGACAACTTCTAATCATTTACTCCACTTTGTATAACTTTTCTTGAACCTACTTAAGTCTTAATGATTAAGTTATGATTATTTTCCTGATACCTAGCATATTTCCCTTCTTCCAAATCCTCCTTTTGGGGCAGGTAGAGAGGGTCCTCAATAGCATTACAGTTTTTATGCAATTCCACATCCTCCTTTGTTCATACAAATTTGCTTCATTAAGCACAGGGAGACTCAACACCATGTTCAGCCAGAGGAAGGAGAAGTTGTGCTTCATTTGTGAAAAATGTGACAAAAATGCATTCTACTGTCATGTATAACTAATTAGAACAAATTAAAAAAAAAAAAACAGTGGGCTAGCTGCACCACTGTAACCAACAATCATTCCCCTATTGCTGGACATTTCTTTTTTCAATATCATAAATTTATAGTAATAACACCTTTGGGCACATATCTATCCATATTTTTGATCTCTTTAGGGTTAAAGTCCTCAAAATGGAATTACTGTGACAAGAAACTAGCCAAGATTAATAAATTATTTTGAATATAAGCCTCCATATACATCTGAGACTCTGGTTACTCTTAAGCAACAAATGGATCTTCTCTTGAAACTCTTACAAATGATACATACAGCTTGACCACTCTCTGCTTAAGTGTTTCACTAATGAAAATATCTCGATTGTCCTTAATAAAAAAAGTAAGCATTAACCAAATTTTTAGTTATTTGATGATGGCAAAAAAGAAAATTTATAAGGCAAAAAAAAGAAGTCAAATATAATTAACAATCAGATTGTGATAATACAGTTATTCTATAGAGTATAACAAATATGAAATTAATTCTGGTATTTAATTATTGCTTTTCAGCAATAATTGACTGAACAACTGTCTCAAAGCATGTGGAGAAGACTCTGAGACTTCTGTAATTATATAAAACAGAAATAGAAGAAAAAGCCAAAGGCAAAAATGCTTATGAAAGCTGGGCAGGATGGCATACACCTATAATCCCAGCACTCAAGAGGATGAGGCAGAGGACCGCAAAAAAAATTTCAGAAGGGTTGGATGTAGTTCAGTGGTCGAGCACTTGCTTAGCAACTGTGAGGGTCCTAGTTTTATGCCTAGTTCTAGGAGTAAAAATTTTTTTAAAAAGGCTTATTTTAAAAATTGCCAAAAAAAAAAAAATTTGCAAATGAATGATACATGAAAAAATTTAGTTTCAGGGAAACTTGAATCGAAACAAAAATACTCTTTACAACATCATAAATTTTTTTTTAACCTTGGGATTAAACCCAGAGCCTCCCACATACTAGGCAAATAGTCTACCATGAACTACATCCCCAGCCCTTAGATTTTATTTTGAGACTGGGGGTTTCAGTAAATTGCCCAGGCTGGTCTCAAACTTGGGATCCTCTTGTCTTAGCTCTAGAGTGGCTACTATCACAGGCATGTGCCATCTAGCTCAAAGCCAAAGATGGCTAGAGTACTCTGAGATATTTTCTTCCACATAATGAAAATAGAACTATGTTAGTATAACTCTTCTGGAATAAGAACCTTAATATTCATATTTTAACATCCCTCTTGACATCAATGAGCAATGCATTCAAAAGAATATATACATATTTGTCATAATGTGAATCTGAAATAGCAAAAAACAGTAAGCAAACTAAATGGTCCACAGTCAGAAAGCAATGTACAGGATCCATACAAAGGACTGCACAACCAAAGTCACATTTTTTAATATATTAATGAATATGAAAATACCTACAATGTCAAGTGAAGAAAGCATGGTATGATGTTAAATCTGTCAAAGAAAATATATGCATAAATAAGATCAGGAAAAAAATATACCAAGACACTTCAAAAGAAGTTCAATAAAAATGAAGATCTTGTCCTTCCAGACAGCAAGACTTTAAAAAAAGTCAAAACAGTGTGGGTACAGGGACAGACAGACAAAACTGGGAGTTAAGAAACAGTTGCACATACATAAGACAAACATGGTATGGCAGGATCAACTGACAAAAGGAGGAAAGCTAGAAAAACAGGCTACGCAAATGAGAGAAAAATGGATCTTTACTCCATACCATACTTAAATATTAACTTCTGCTGAATTAATAATTTCACTGTCAAAACCAAACTTTATGATTTTTTCAGTGACAACATTGATCAATGTCCAACTTCCTATCCTCAGGAAAAGAAAGGCTTCTTTGCCACAACACTAACTCCAAAAGAAAAGCTGAACACTTTCCTGTATATCAAGACAGCTTTTAAAAAGTAGAAAAACAAGCCGTGCGCGGTGGTGCACACCAGTGGCTCGGGAGGCTGATGTAGGAGGATTGCGAGTTCAAAGCCAGCCTCAGCAAAAGTGAGATGCTAAGCAACTCACTGAGACCCTGTCTCTAAATAAAATACAAAATAAGGCTGGGGATGTGGCTCAGTGGTCAAGTGTCCCTGAGTTCAATCCCCTGTACCAAAGAAAAAAAAGATGCACCTGAGAGAAGATTCAGCAACAAATATCTAACATAAAAATAGCAACAATGATATTCAAAAATTCATACAAATCAGTAAGAACACAACAACCAACAGAACAAATAGGGATAAGACACTATTAGGCACTTCACAGAAGAAGTGAACATATATGGTCAATGTACACATGAAGGGTCAGATCAAGCTCCTGAAATCTGGAAATGCAAACCAAGACCACAGACCACTTCATGACACTCAAATAGCAAAAATCTCAGTGTGAAAATCACTAAGAGAAGATGTCTTATAAATTGCTATTGGGAGTTCCTGACTGATACAACTACTTTGGAAAACAACTGCCATTATCTGAATGTCTGGACTCAGATATGGTAAATGCATTCCTATGGAATATGCAAGAGAAACTCTCCTACTATCTATACTCCTGGAAAATTATTCAAAATGGTCACAACAACAGTATTTACAATGGCAAAACAAGAACCCACTATCCACTGACAAGTGAGTAAATCACAGCTGGTCCTCAGTACCTTCAGACTCAACCAACCATGGACTGAAAATATTTGGGGGGGGATTGCATCTGTACTGACTGTACATGTACAGCCTCTTGTTCCCTTGCCATTATTCCCTAAACAACATAGTACAGCCACTGTTCGCATCACATTTGTTATATTAAGCAATATTAAGTAATCTAGACATGATTTCAAGTATATGGAAAGATGTGCATGGGTTCTATGCAAAAATTAAACCATTTTATATAAGGGAATTAGCATCCTTGGATTTTGTAATCTGTAGGAGGTCCTAGAATCGATTCTCCACAAATACTGAGGGAAGAGTACATTGATATATTTCCAAAATGAAAAATACCATACAGCAATGAAAATCAACGAACTGCAACTCCAGGCAGCTTCATAAACCCTTAAAAAAAGGTTCCAGAGGACATACCATATCTTTTTTAAAACATTCAAAATAAACTAAATTTGGCAATTTTAAGAAAAATTATTAAGTAGTAGTGACAAAACACAATTCAGGATAATGATTACCTTTGGGGGAAATGAAGGGCAGGATGGGAGGAACACATAGGTGGATTGAGTATAAAACAATGTTTTAATTCTTCTTGGGTTGAAAAGTAGGTTTCTGAGTATTCTATCAACTTGTAGAAAATTAAAAAAAATATATATATATATCCCTCCCTGTAAAGATTCTGGAGGGCTGTAAGATTACAGGTGATTTTTACTTGCTTCTTTATTCTACCTTTCAGTAATTTAAAAACTTAAAAGATTTTACTTTGATGGACTGTGATGACGACTACTACCCTGACAACCACTGCTTCTTTCCCCCTCACAACTAGTTTTTGAAAGATGACCTTTGTGGCACTCATGATGCTGTTGCTGGTGTTCTCATCTTCATGACACTATCCTTGAGTTTCCTGCTCCTAGGTCTTTATATAGTACAAAACCCTACTGATGGCATCTTTTCCACATGCTTTGAGACAAAACTCAATAACATCTTTAAAAATTAAGGAGAAATAATGTACTACTACCAACCTTTAACTCCATCCAAATGATTGTTATACAGAAGCTTACTTGCTTGATCATATTTTTCAAACAACCTCCAAAACACAGATTCTTCCTTAGAACACAATTTAGTCACAGTGTTCTTTAACTCTTCCAAGTGTACCAAAGCTGACAAGAGACAGTCTAACCAACAGAGAGCATTAGTATTTTTCCACTGGACACAGAGAGTCTGGAGAAATGACAAACATTTGATCTCCAATGGCATTTCCAGTTCAGATGTATATCCTTCATTCTGAGGGGAAATTCCCCCAGTTTCAGAGACATCAACAGTAATAGGATCTTCTTCAGCCATATCAACATTATCAGCGTCCAAGGTCTCATTATGATCCAAGGAATGAGCAGTTCTAACTGAATTCTGTTGACTACTACTATTGGGTAAGTTTGACAAGATTTCATCATATTTGCTGTTCAAAACTTGTTCTCTATCAGTAACAAGATGATTTCTAGTCTTTTTGGAATTTGCTAAAAAAGGTGAATCATTACAGCTGGTTTCTAAGATCTTTCTTTTTTGAGGCTTATTTGGAATGTGACAATCTTCCAAATCAGGAGAAATTAAATTAAGTGATTTAGAGCCCAAAGGATAGATGCACTAGAAAAGAAAAATAAAATCATACAATTACAAAAATTCAAATAAGTAAAAGTTTTACAGTTTCTACACTATGAAAAACAAATTTTTAGCATTAATTTAACATGAAAATATATTTATCAATCTAAATTTGAAAGAATAATGACAAACACTATTTAATCAAAATGTGGACCCCCCCCAAAGAAAAAATTTTCCTAATGAATTAAATCTAAGGTTTAATCTGAGTTATAACTAGGGTAAGATAACAAAGAAAACATATTTTTATGTTAATAAAAAAAATCTAATTTCAAGAATATTAAAAAATTTCAACATTGTAAAGAAGACTGAGGACCATTACTCTTTTGGAACAAACAGTGTAACATTTTAAAAATTGGAAAAATATGTTTCATTTTTTTTGGTGGTGGGACTGGGACTGAACCACCACCCATTAGTACTCTACCACTGAATCATATCTATTCAGCACTTTTTGAGATGGGGTCTTGCAGGCATGTACCACCACACCCAGCTTGGAAAAGTATTTTCAAAGTTAAAAAACTGCATGGATTAATTTCTGTGTTTCCTATATTTTAACACAGAGTATAAATCTAAAAACATGCTATTTTAGTTCATATCTAATGGGTTAACGACTCATCAAATCTAACTGGGCATTAACACAATTTCAACCAAATTCCAAAATGTAAATACATCATTAATCAGCGAATTTTTCTTAATTTTCAAGACCACCAAAACATTCTACAACATAAATGCAAGAACCTATACACTAAATGCCCTCATTTAAAAATATATCTTTTGGAAAGAGATACTGTAGTTCAGTGATAAAGCACTTGCCTAGTATAGTATGCAAAAGGCTAATTCAATCCCTAGCACTGAGAAAAAGTAATTTAAAAAATTAAATGAATAAATAAATAGTATACTACAGGAACAGAGCCACATCAATGTTTATAGCAGCACAATTCACAATAGCTAAATTGTGGAATCAACCTAATGCCGTTTTGTAAATGAATGGATAAAGAAAATGTGGTATATATATACACAACGGAATATTATTCAGCATTAAGAGAATACAAATCAAGGCATTTGCAGGTAAATGGATGAAGCTGGAGAATATAATGCTAAGTGAAATTAGCCAATCCCAAAAAACCAAATGCCAAATGATTTCTGATTTAAGGATGCTGATCCATAATATGCTGTGGGGCAGGTATGGGGAGGATTAAATGAACTCTAGATAGGGCAAAGGGGAAAAGGGGAGGGACTAGAAGGGAAGGGGTATAGGGGTAGGAAAGATGGTGGAATTCGATGGTCATTATTACCCTATGTAAGAAAACATGAAAGATGTGAATCTACTTTGTGTACAACCACAGATAAAAAATTGTGCTCTATATTTGTAATATGAATTGTAACACATTGTTGTCATATACAACAAATCAAAATTAAAAATAAATATATATTTTGGATGGATGTTGTTTAATTATGTTCAATCTGTCACAACTATGACATACTAAAATTATTTCTATGATAAAAAAATTAAATGAATAAATAAACAAAACATGCCTTTTTCTATACAAGTTTGGTAGACCGCTACACTTTGATGGCCTTCAGTGAACTGAAGAACCATACCTTCTGGTAACTGATGTCCTCATATTGTCAAGTCCTCTACACAGACTAGGCATTTACTACCTTTGATGGGACATTTGGACACAAGATTCACATGAAGGTCTGATAAGCACTGGCCCATTCTTGTACTCTTGGAGGCCCTTCTTCAGTCCCAGCTATCATGCAGTAAGAAGCCCAATTAGTCTCAAGAAAAAGAACTGAGATTCCCAGCTGGCTCCCTAAGCTGAGCTCCCAAACAGCACTTACAGTCAGACATGGAAGCATTTTCAGTCATCACAGCAGATATTGTACGTATAAGGATAAGAACTGCCTAGAGAACCCACAGAATCATGAAAATAAAGCCATGCAATTACTTAGTTTTGAGGTAATTCACTTCATAGCAACAGATAAATGAAATGCACTGAAATCCCTCATCTAGCTTCTTCTATACAGTGAATACTATATTTAAAATACTACATTTGCATAGGCCTGCAACCCCAGCTAACTCTGGAGGCCAAGGTAGGAAGATCACACTTTCAAAACCAACTGGGGTGAATTAGCAACACAGTTTAATAAAAAAGGATGGGCTAGAGATATAGCTTAGTGGGGAAGCACTTGCCTAGAAAGTGGATGCCCTCGATTCAATCCGCAATACTTGGGGATCAGGGTAGGGATGAAGGAATACTAACTTGACTAACAATTTTATATCTTGAGATTTCTCAAATCCTACCCTATGCCAGGAAACCAAACACTTTAAAATCAATAACAATGCCAGATGTGGTGGCATACATCTGTAATCCCAGCAACCCGGGACACTGTTGACAGGAGGATCACAAATTTGAGGACAGCCTGGGTAACTTAGACCCTCTCTCAAAATAAAAAATAAAAAGGGCAGGGATGTAGTTCAGTGGTAGAGCACTCCTGAGTGCGATCCCCAGTATCACACACACAAACTAAAACTAAAATCAACAGCAATAATTGCATTTTCAGAGTCATAAAAGATTACATTCAAAAAAATTGAAAGCAGGATCTCAAAGAGATGTTTGCACACCCATGTTCACACTGTAGCACTTATTCACAATATCCAAAGGTAGGAAAACAACCCAAATGTGTGATGACATATATGAACTGATAAAGAAATGGGGTATTATCCATTCAATAGAATACTATTCAGCCTTAAAAAAAAAAAAAATAAAGGAAACCATGTCACATGCTACAACACAGATGAACTTTAATGACATTATATTAAGTAAAATTAATCAACCACAAAAAAAAGATATACTGTAATGATTCTATTTATATGAAGTACTTAAGAGCAATAAGATGTATGAAATATGATATGTCAAGAACTATGTAATGTTTTGAACATCCAATAATAAAAATTAAAAAAAAAAAAGAGTAATAAGAGTCATTGAAATAGATCAGTGGCTGCCAAGGGCTAGAGTGAAGGGTGACTAGGGTATCTGTGTACAGTTCAGTTGTGCAAGCTAAAGAAAGTTCTAGAGATATACTGCATGACCATGTGAGTACACATAGTACTCCTGAACTATACACTTAAAAATGGTTAAGATGTTAGATTCTATAATTTTCTGTCACAATTTTAAAAAACAGAAAATAATTTTTTAAAAAACTACCCAAATACCAAAACAAAAGTCCTTCACCAATCTCAAGCAGTCAAGATCTTGGTGTATATACATACTGCTTGTATCCCTATTTAATGAAAAATAATAAACTATGAGGGTCTTGGGCTACAAAACTTAGTGGCCTGGATGGTTTCCACACTTGCTTTACAAACGTTTTCACTGACTTTTTTTTCTATAATCTCTACTCCCATCACTAGGGCAACCAAAATTATAATTTGTTTTTACTCTAAGTTATCCCTTTTATAAATTAATACTTTTAAAAATGTAATAACTAGAACTAGAATAAAGCTTTTTAACTTAAACCTAATGCTGTTTCTCAGTGTTTTTTTTTTGGGGGGGGGGAGCAGCTTAAGTAATTTCCTGTTTTTATTCCTAAAAGACAGTAATAAGAAAAAACATGTTTTGTTTTGTTGTTGTTGGTTTTGTTGTTGTTGTTGTCGCTTTTTTTTTTAGTTGTAGTTGGACACAATACCTTTATTTATTTATTTTTATATGATGCTGAGGATCAATCCCAGAGCTTCTCACATGCTAGACAAGTGCTTTATCCTGAGCTACATCACCAGCTATCATTTTATTTGGAAATTAATTAAGCTTCAGCCAAAGAAATTATAAAAATAATTTATAAATATTTCATGCCCTTTCCTTCTTTTTTCTTTTTTTTTTTTTTTTTGGTGTTACTGGGACTATTTTCTATTTTTTAGGTACTGGGGATTGAACCCAGGGGCACTTAATCACTGAGCTACATCCCAGTCCTTTTTATTTATTTATTTATTTATTTATTTATTTATTTATTTATTTATTTTTTGAGACAGAACAGGGTCTCCCTAAGTTGCTTAGGTCCTCACTTCCTTGCTGAGACTGGCTGGCCTCCAAATTGTAATCCTCCTGCCTTAGCCTCCCTAATTGCTGAGATTAAACATGTGTACCACTGTGCCTGCCCTTTTTGTTTTGAGACAGGATCTACATTGCTTAAGGGCTTGATAGATTGCTCAAGCTGGTCTCAAACTTATTATCCTCCTGTCTGGGTCTTCCAAGTGGACAGGATTACAGGTGTGTGCAACCATTCCCAGCTACTTATGCCCATTTCACAAATGAACAGGTATTTTCTTTGATGACTTAACACTATTTAAAAATCTCTTTATAGCTGAGCAAAGTGGCACACATCTGTAATCTCAGCTACTTAGGAGGCTGAAGCAGGAAAATCACAAATTCAAGGCTTGCCTAAAAGCAAGATCTCAAAAAAAAAAAAAGAAAAAGAAAAAGAAAGAAAGAAAAGAAAAACAAAATATGCAAAATCCTTTTCATTATAAATCTTTTTCTTTTGGAAATAAAAAAAGGACTGAATAATAAAATCCTCCAAAATAATGAACTACTCAAAAAAAAAGTTAAAACATTTTAAAAATACTTGAAAAGTTCCAATTTGGTATTAATTCTAAAATAGTTTAGAATATTAATATTTTTTCAAATTAAGAAACATTTTAATATAAATAAGCAATTGGGCTGGCGTTGTGGTTCAGAGGTAGAGCACTTGCCTAGCATGCGTGAGGCATTGGGTTCGAACCTCAGCACCACATAAAAATAAAACAAAGGTATTGTGTCCACTCACAACTAAAAAATAAATAAATACATAAATAAGCAATTAAAAGGGGTTCCCACATGCTTCTTCCAATTTAGAGCAAATAAATGCAAAATGCTCAGCAGACTCCAAGTTTTGTAGAACTCTTTACATATTATCAATGCAATTCAGGGGTCTTATGGACTATGGACCAGCAAACTTTATCTATAAAAGGCTAAAAAATAAACATTTTAGGCTTTGCGAGCTACATAGTCTCTGTCACAAATATTCAATTCTGCTATTATAGTGCAAAAGCAGCCACAGATGTTATAAAAATGACAGCACAGCTATATTCCAATAAAACTATTTATATACATGGAAATTTGAATTTCATGATTTTCATGTGTTATCAAAGAGACTTCTTTTGACTTTGATTTTCCCCAACCATTTTAAAACAGGAAACTCACTCTAGCTTTCTATCATACAAAAAGAGTTTGCTGACCCCTGCTGTAAACCAATCTACTTCACAAAGTACACTAGGCTCATATTGTTGATTAGGAAAAAAACAAAAATTTAAATTAGATCAATAAATTACTCCGGTTCTGTGTGTGAGAGAGAAAAAGAGTTACTAAAAGTTGTACCCAGGGGTGCTCAATCACTGAGCTATACCCCTAGATCTTTTTATTTTAAGACAGGTTCTTACTTAGTTGAAGTTGGCCTTGAACCTATGATTCTCCTGCCTCACCTCCCAAGTTGCTAGGTTTATATAGGCGTGCACCCACATGCCTGGCTCAACTCCAGTTTTTTTTTTTTTTTTTTTTTTAAAAACATCTGCACTGTATATACTTAAAATTCTTGACTATATATTTTCTCCTTATCACCTAAAAAAGAAAGCTTAAAATACTAAAAGTGCAAATAACATATCCAATCTTAATAGCTAAAACCTACTTCCTGAAGACAGGAACTGCTCTATTGCTATTTTCCTTGGTTAAAGAGCTCTACTGAATATCACTTATGTATTGTTCCAGGAGGGCAAAAGTACTTTCATCTAAAATCAATAAGATTTTCTCTTTCCAATGGTCACAATTCCATAACTTCAAGTTAACTAGCAAACACTCTGAATATAGTCTGTTATTAAGAATGAGCCCGTGAAAAGCTCCTACAATCAACCCCTCACTGTGGGCAACAAAGTCTACCTCCTGTTCCAGGGATATGCCTCTAGCTATTTTCCCAAACTGTCCCTCAATGAATACAACTAGTATGCTGGTCTTTTTCCCAGCATACTTAAAAATTTTTTCTACTTAAAATTTTAAAAAATTCTTTCACATCTATGCTTCTCCTTCTGTCTGCTCCACTCAGGCTTTTATCACCACTGCTTCACCCAATCTATTCTTCCTGAGGTGTCCAAGGACCTCCAGGTCACTCTAGTCAAAGATGAATTGGGTTGTCCTCTTCCCTGAGCTCTCAGCAACATCTGACAATAACTAACACATTCCACCCCCTTCAATATTTCACTGGACTTCCTGCACAATGCACTCTCCTACCTGGTTTTACTGCTACAAACTTCTCAGAATCTACTGTGGTCCATTTCATCTTCCCAGCTTCTTAATGTTGGAGTGGTTCAGGGCTGTTATTAAACCTCTTTTATCCACTCCTAGGGGAACTCTTCTAACTTTATGATTCAGTTAGCCACATGCTCAGGACTACCAAGTCTTCTTCTCTAATCCCAAACTCTCCACATACAGCTCCAACTACTTACACCACAGATGTTACAAGTCTCAACCTTGATTATTCTGACCTCTCAGGGGTTTTAGCTTTGTGTGAAAACTGGGAATAAAACTAACTAGTCTCCTGGATTCAGTTCTTGCCCATTACATTTATTTTTCAACCCAACAGTCACCACAGCGATCCTTTTAACACATAAATCAGAATATGTTACTCTTCTGCCAACATCCTTGCTACAGTTCCTCACTTCAACCAGAATAAAAGTCAAGAGCTTATCATGGATTGTAAGACCCTACATGGTTCAGTCCCCAATTATTTTTCTAACCCATCTTCTATCACTCTGCCTCTCACTCAAATGCATCTCAGCTGGTTTCAGTGCAATAGCATAAACATGACAGGAAACCTCTCCTCTCTCATGGCCCTCCTAGTGCTTGCTTCTCCTAGTGCCTAGGATGGCTCAATACTCTCCACCCCACCCCCTCAGGCCTTTGCTCAAATTCCACTTTCTCAATGAAGCATTCTCCCCACCACTCTTTAAAACTGTGAACAACTCCTCCCAACACTCCAGTTTTATGTTTCTTAGTAGCACTTTTCATCATCTGACATAAAAAAATCATACTTCACTTGTTATTGTCTTTCCTAATCTAGAACATAATCTCAAGGGTAAAATTTTGGTTGTTGCTTTATTCATCCCTGAATCCTAGCATTGTATTGGAAAAAGTGCCAACTCAGTGACACTCATTTGCTAAATAAATGCAAAAGGAAATTTGTTTCTATTTGTAAACACGTCTGGGATTGTTTCCCCTCAAATTACACCAAGCAAAATATCTATTGCCAATTGTGTGATGTTGCCTTGTATTCCCAAACTGGGCTGTTCATTAGATTCATTCTCAAAAATTACAAAACTATAGAAATATGGGCCAACTTTAATGAACAATGTCTAGAGGTAAGAACCAGAAATATCTTAATAACATTCCAGATGATTCTGATGAACTGCTAGTTGAGCTGGAATAAACAGGTCTGAAATTAGCTCATTACATTTTCCTTTTTCTTTTTTCTTTCTGTACTGCGGATTAAGCCCAGGGCCCTTACACATGTCAGGTGAGTGCTCTCCAGCTGAGCCACATCACCTAGCCAACAGACCTGAAATTAGAAAACCACAATCCAATCACAGCTCTGGCACTCTATAAAGATCTTCTATTCCCCAAACCCTCTGAATCTAGGGTGCTTGTTTTGTTTTGCACAGTGCTGGGAATGGAATCCAGAGATTGACTCATGCTAGATAGTGTGCTACCACTGAGGCACATTCCAACCCTGAATATCTTTTCTTAAAAAAATGGGAATACTTATCTTGCAAAGCTTTGAGAATTAAAACATGTACAAAAAAGTTTCATAAAGTGTCAAGTACAGTAAAATGTAGAATATTACGGAATTTAATAAGCTCCTATGTTGTACTGGTGGATACAATTACTATAATTAAAACATATTTAGAACCTTTTAAATTTTTTAAGTACAAACTATTTAGCACATAGAATAATACTGTTTTTGGACTATTGATTTCCAAAATACTTTTCCAGGTAAATTAGAAGGTAATAACTTTTCCAGTCTAAAAGTTCATAAACCAAAGAGAATAACTACTACATGCTAATAACTAACAAGAACTCCCCACCAAAGTTAAAAAATAGCGTATGCAACAACTAAGGAATCCAAATGGAAAAATGACATAAAGAACCAAACAGATTTAGAAACTCAGATTATCTGTGTGTTAAAAAGCTACATTCTAGGGGCTGGAGTTATGGCTCAGTGGTAGAGCACTCGCCTCGCACATGCAAGGCCTAGGTTCGATCCTCAGTACCACATAAAAATAAACAATTAAAACCAAGTTATTATGTACAACTACAAAAAAAAATATTTTTTAAAAAATCTACATTCTAAAAATACAAATCGAAACCGGGTATGATAGTGCATGCCTATGTCCCTATAACTTGGGAGGATGATAAGGCAAGAGGATCCAAGTTCAAAGCCAGCCTCTGCAACTTAGCAAGACCCTATATCAAAATAAAAAATTTAAAAAGGGCCAGGAATGTGGCTCAGTGCTTAAACACTCCTGAGTTCTATACCCAGTACCAAAAACAAATTGAGTAATAATATAAATAATGAAGAAAAAAAAAATCAAAAGACTAAAACTTATGTGCTATTTTAGATTAATACTTTACCTGCAGATCCTCACACAAAGAGATAGATTCTTGAAAACTAATTCGGTAAGTCTTTAAGGCTTTTACTTTTCCCTTCTCTCTACAAGCGGGGCAATACCCATCTGAGGTAGCTTTAGCTGAATTATAATTCTAAAAGAGAAATAAAGCAATTAAAATGAAGATATTTTTAAACCATATCAAATTACAGAAAGTTCAATTAGAAGTGTCCTGGCAAGATTAAACACGGCAAATAAAAGAAATGCATAAGGTTTTAAATTTAGCTATTACTGAAAAAAGAATATCATAAGAATTAAACTTTAAGTGTTAAAAACAGCATCCATTTTATTTGCAGGAAGAAAAAAAGTAGCATCAACTGCCAGGGAAAATGTATGTTCCATATTTTCAAAGAATAATAAACTATAAGGTCTGTTCATATATCAATAAACACAGAGAGGTAAACACATTAAAATAATCTTTCGCCATTGCTGTAAGATTTCCGTGGAAGATACACCATTTTAGAAGTTAATTGGTAAAATTAAAACTGAATAAGTGTCAAAAATAGAAAGGGGAAAAAAAAAAAAAAGAACAACTTTGTACTGAGCCAAAAAATAAGTTCACTAACTTTTCCCAAATACCCCACCATGGGGAGTGAAGATACCCCTATATCAGCCCCTGGTCCAATCACTGGCAAACCATTTCCAATCTTCGGAGAATCCATCATTCCGAGTCATTGGCTAATTTATGTCACTTGAAACATGTCAATATCACTAAGGATTTTTCAATGAACCCTGGAAAAAAAAAGTCAATAAACAATTAAATAAAAATTCTTATTCTAAAAAAGAGCTATGATATTTTACAAAAGATACATATTTTTAAGTATATGTTGAGAGATCTATATTCTAGGATAAACATATTCTAAAACTGTGATCATGAAGTTGAAAATATTTAAATTTATTTATATATTAAGCAAATGTGTGAGGAGAGGGCAGAGAACAGCAATAGGATGTATTTTCTTAGCAGACTCACTTGTAAGCAAATTAAACAAAATTTGTTGTAGACGCAGACACTATTTAAAGCACCCTGTATTCACCAGAATTTGAAAATTTAAGTTTTTAAGAGCCTATGCACAACTTAAAACAAATAAGCCAGCATTATAATGAGAAAGTCTCTAAAACCCCCCTGATTCACTGTGTTATTACTTGACAGGGAAAAAAGAATCAATGACCCACATACATTCCTACTGTTTTAAACCCCCAATACCTCACCAATTGAGAATGCTACTTTTAAAAGTTACCGACAAAATACAAAATTCATGTTATTTGTAAACAATCTGCACCAGAACAAAAATATAAACACTGCCATAGTACAAATTACACAACAAGCTTGTTCAATGTTGTCCCATGAAATAGAACCATATTCAGTAAAAAATTATGACACCCAGCTCAGAATAAGGAAAAAGTTATTAAAAGCAGTTTAAAATATAGAAAAATCAGATATAAGAAACTTTTAAGTAAGGCAAATTACCACTTGGTTACAACATTGTTAAGTAACTTCAAGCATAAGTTACTACAAAGCCTAAGAAACTACAATTTTACAACAACCATCTTCTGGGAATCAGTGGCTCACAGATTCACTTTGAAAACTGGTTATACTATTCTGTTCTAGCTGTATAAATTTCACACACCTTCAAGCCATGGAATAATTTCAAAGATTAAAAAAAAAATTAAGTATCAGTGAATCTCAATTTCCTATTCCTAAACCACAGACAGGGTTTCTTAACTACAGCACCACACTTTTTGGACCAGATAATTCTTTATTGTAGGTGCTGTCCTATATATTGTAGAATATTTAGCAGGATCACTGATCTCTACCCATGAGACAACCAAAAATGTCTCCAAATACTGCCAAAATGTACACGAAGAGATAAAAGTGTCCCATTGAGAAGTACTGCCATGAAAGTTACTACAAGGTGGATGTTTGTTATTTTCAGGCTCTTTATGGACAACACCAACTTATGATCTCTGGCTGGTTCTACTTATAATCTACTTACAAAAAAGAATTTCAGGGGGCTGGGGTTGTGGCTGAATGGTAGAGTGCTCAACTAGCATATGCAAGGCCCTGGATTTGATCCTCAGCACCACATTAAAATACATTCATAAGTAAATAAATAAATAAAATAAAGGTATTGTGTCCAACTACTTCTAAAAAATAAATATTTAAAAAAGAAAAAAGGAATTCAGGGGCTGGGGTTGTAGCTCAGTGGTAGAGTGCCTACCTATCATGTGTGAGGCACTGGGTTCAATCCTCAGCACTACATTAAAAATAAATAAATAGGGCTGGGGATGTGGCTCAAGTGGTAGCGCGCTCGCCTGGCATGCAAGCGGCTGGGGTTTGATCCTCAGCACCACATACAAAGATGTTGTGTCCGCTGAAAAACTAAAAAATAAATATTAAAATTCTCTCTCTCTCTTAAAAATAAATAAATAGATAGATAGATAGATAAAGGTATTATGTCCACCTACAACTGGGGAAAAAAAAAAAAAAAGAATTATAGGATACAGGAAAGAGTCAAACTTGTACTGTCCAGAGTGACTATCAGCACCAGTTTTGCACCTGCTGATCTGGGCTAGAAACTTGTTAAACTGTATCATTCTAAGGATTAAATGAAATAATGCATGTCAAATGCTTAACACTTGACACATAACAAATTTATAACTACTACTAGCCCTAATTTCCTAATTGTATTTATTTATTTATTTATTTTTGGTGGTGCTAGAAATTGAATCCAGGGCCTCACACATGCCAGGCAAATGCTTTACCACTGAGCCACATCCCCAGCTCTGGTCCTAACTTTACATTTAACTATGCAGAAACTGTGCAGTGTACTTTCTATCATTCTGCAGCATTCTCAAGAGATATTGATAGGCTAAGTATCTTCAATAGATTTTTTTTTTTTTTAAACGAAAATCTCCATCTGCCTGAGGGATCTAGGAAACCATTTCAGATTGTTCTCTCTCTCAATTACAGACACAAAACACAAGGAGCCTTCAAATCTTCTCCCTGACACTACCACCCAACATTTCAATGGGAACAGCTGGTAGTTTGGGGAAAGAAATAATGAATATTCAAAATCTCCCCCCAAAAAATCGTTACTAAAAAATACCAGAGATAGGTTCTTCAAGTCTTCTTTCAAATACAATTTACTCTTATATGCAATCCAGGAGTGGCTAATTACAACTTAATATATCCCTTCACTGTCTTCTATTCAGAAATAACGTGTTTCTCTTCCCCAATCTCAACCAAATTTTGCCATCTCCAGCCTCCTAAACATAGACTAGAAAGTGTGAATCGTTCTCTGCTTTTGTTTTTCTTTTCTTCATGTAGTAAAAGTCATCAAAGTCTGTGGACAGTTCTTTGGAAATGTTTCAAATTCTTACCTCTCTATTCCAATCTTACTCCACCCATCTCTGTCAAAGTGATGCTCCTATAAAACAAGTCTGAGTTTGGCACTGCTCAGCTTAAAAATCGCCTACTTACTGCAGCCTGATTATAGGAAAGTCCATCCGAACACCTCAGAATGACCTAAAGATACTAAGTACTATGACCTCATTGCATGGCGAAACCAGCCTAGCTTTAGGGTCTCCCTCCACTTCACTCTTGGCCCCTTTCTTCATACATCCCTTTTCAATACTTCCGTAAGCCACTGATGCTCCAAAGGTCCTCAGTATGCACCCAGTTACAGCGCCATGAATTTGTTAGTGAAGCTGACCATGGGGATGGCAAAAAGCACCCAATTAAACTTAATTCACAGTGCTATGTGAGAAATGGTAAAACCCAGAGAAACTGTGCTCAAAGGAGCTTGCACCCATTTGAACTTGCCCTTGGGACCAAGTGGGCTCAGCACGTGAACTCTCAAAGGCAAGGCCACCAGAGACTTAAAGGCGAGGAACGGGATCAGTTTTAATGGCCACCCTGGTACCAAACCCCAGGTGTCCTGATAAACAGAGACGGACTGGACCGAGACACGTGAGTTTCAAACCCCAACCCTGGAAACCCCAGAGACGCCGCGTTCCGTTAACCCTGCCCATCTCCAAAGCTTCCGGGAGACGGAAACAAACTCTGGTTTCTCTTCAGCGTTTACCTCTCTGTGACCAAATAAATCTCTTAACTCCAACTCTTATACCTTAGCCATCAACCTTTCCCACCTGAACCTCGTCCCTGCCCATCCTTTCAGCGAGCCCACTACCCCATAGGGCATCTCAGGTGTTCCTTTTTCCTTATTTCGAAAGCCGAAAGAAACTACTCCCTCTTCTCCCTTACCTGCAATTGGAACTCCCCCTCTTCGTACCGGATCGGTCCGAACTCCACACCACCTAGTTGTTACGTTCAACCCACGTTCCCTTCGGACTACTCCTCCCCCACCGGCTTCTCCGCTAGGAAAGCAACTTCCGGTTTAAGTCCGCGGCAAAAAAAAGTCCCCCTTCCTGCTGCACGCGGGGCTTGAAAGGACGTCGGCGTCGTGGGGAAGGCGAAGATAGGAACACTTCCGGAAGGGATCCGCAGAGGCGTGGCTGTCCGCCCTGTAACCGCAGCCGCAGTTTTAGCTGCGGCTAAAACTGACGAGGAGGGGCGGGGAGGGTGGCTTCCAAGCTCGCCGAGTGTGAGTGGCTGGGTTTGGGGAGGCGATGTTTCTGGAAGCTGCTGGAAAGCACTAGAGTGGCGGAGGTGACGCCGACGGCCAGGGGGTGGGGCGTGATTAAAACTAGTGCGCGGCCCGCAGCGGAGGGATTACGCTGCTGAGGAAAGAGAGCGGCGTGCGTCTCTTTGCGCCCAGCCAGGGCCGCGCGAGCCGAGTCTGGTCACCCCGGGGCCCCCGAGTGACCCTGGGGGTGGCGCAGCAGAGGGGAGGACCGCCATGGAGGCTCTTGGCTGGCGCGTCTCTTTGGTGCCACGGTCGCCACGACGGGGCCACGCCGGGCACCCCTAGTCGGCTCGCTAAGCCTCGGTGAGAGCCGAGCTGCCACAGTGCGTGTTCACAAAGGGTCACCACACACGGAGCTGCCCCTCCCTTCTCCCTAAACCCCACCTTCGAGGCCAGGGGCTTTTCCATCAGGATTCTGGGGTGTTTCTCCTCCTTTCCTCCCTCCCAGATCTTCTAACGGTAAGGGGAGTAGCGAAAGCCCAGGGACGTGGCTCTCCATGACCCGTTGTGACTCCGGAGCAGCCGACCCGTCCCTGCTGCACTGGTCTCAGCTGCCCTGCCTTGTTTTAACTTCAGAGGAAGGGGAGTTCTCATTGAGTTGATAAGTTTCGAGGCTGCTTTCGTAGGGAGGTCATGTGGTGCAAGGGACGTGGTGACCGCGTCTGCTGTTTCTGGAGTCTGCATTCTAAATCTCGGGGCAGCCTATTCAGAAGCACTTTGGGGTCGATTGTTTCTGGGTCCTAGGATAACAGTTTGTAGTTTACTGACTATCTCTTTACATAGTCACCGTGTTGGGCATTTTGGCGTTTTGGACTGTGGGTTTCTTTCAAGTGCTCAGACGAAATGATTATATGCTGGAATAATGCTGATGCCTTTGATAGGGTGATAGGAAGGAAACAAGTTCCGTGTACGAGGAAATTAATGACTAAAAGAGATTTTAGTCTGTGGTACTTCTGAATGTCAATGGCCAAGAAATCCAACAAAGAATTGTTGGTTTTTTTCCTCCAGATTAAAATAGGCTGGTTAGGTTTTATTTACTACTTTTTTTTTTTTGTAGTTGTACTAGATTATTAATGTACTGGTGTTATTCGTTGTAAGATCTAATAATAAAAATAATTTCATTATTTTGAATTTATGAAAATTTGGAAAAGTAGTATTTCCTCCTGAAATAATAGCTAACACTAATAGGATTTTTTTCTTGCTCTCCATTGCCATATCCATTTTTAGAAAGAAATACAGTAATAAACACTTGCTGAATGTTAACTCTAATTGAATAAAACCAAATGCAAATGTAGTAAAAAATTTGAGATTGCAAAGCAACATCATTGACTAAGTTACGTCAAAAAATAAACGTTTACAAAGTTGATTTTTATTCTTTTAGTGAAATTTTGATTTTTTTTTTTTTTTTGGCCAGGAAAGATGTTAATAATGACAGAAATAAAATGGAGATGGGGCTTCAGTTATGGAGAAAAAAGATTTTAGTTGTTTTGGTTGTGTAATGACTCCAGAGCCTTTCTCCTTGTAGAAAGTTAGGAAAGTCTTAAAGGAGAGGATTCAGATATAGGCGATTAGAAGAATTTGTCTAGAAAACTCCACTTACATTTGTGTTAGAGAGCAATGGTCCCAAATTGATAAAATTGTTTGTATTTCTACTTATTCCTTAACCAGTGTATTTGGAATGCTCTGAGTACTCCAGTGGCAGAGTGCAGTTACCTTCCAGTGGCTTCAAGCTATTGCCTTCACTCCCTTGTCAGCAGCATGGAACAGAAATTACACTTCTTTATTTCCATTTATAATCTCACGTTTAATACATGGTACAATGCCATACAGTTAGGATTTCCTTTTTTTTTTTTTTTTTTTTGCGCTTCATTTTCTCTCATGATGACAATTCTTAATAGATTGGCTCTTTAACCAATAAACTTTTTTATCTCAGATCTGGAATATAAAAGCTTCCTGCTGTGATTCCTTGTGTGGCTTCACCCAAAAGACAGAGACAAGTATTCATACTTCTTAGCAGCACCCTGCAAGTTCAGTGTCTAATCCCTTATGTAAATCTAATATTCAGGAAGCTTGGAAAATCAAAAGCTTTTGAAGTTTAGAGACACAATTCATCACAAAATACAGCCTACATTAATGAGAATTACATAAAGTTTTTATTCCATTTGTTTTTCTAAAACAATATTAGTAATTTTGATTGTGGGGTTCTGTTCTCCGCCACTGTTTTATGGAGTGTTAAATAATGGTTTGTGTACCTTGCAACATTTTTAATTCCAAGAAATTGTTTTTGTGTACCCCCACCCCACCCCCAGTTCTGGGAATTTTGCACTAGGCCTCTTTACCCTTGAGCTACATCTCCAGCCCTTTTTATTTTTGAGACAGGATTTTGCTAAGTTGGCTGAGGTTGGCCTTGAACTTGGAATCTTGCTTCTGCCTCAGCTTCCTGAATTCCCTGGCATTACAGGTATCAGCCACTGTGCCACCAGGCAAAAATTCTTAACACACCTAACTAATCTAATTTCTGAAATACAGCTAACTCTTGCATTTGAGGAATTTTGAAACTATTGCTTGTCAGTAAAGTTGTGCTAGGCATTGTATATTTCAAAACTTAACTTTAGGGGCTGGGGTTGCACATGTGAGACGCTGGGTTTGATCCTCGGCACCACATAAAAATAAACAAATAAAATAAAGGTATAATGCCCAATTATAACTAAAAAAATTTTAAAAGAAACTTGAGACACTTTAGTATTTGTCCTCAGTGATTTGATTTGTTAGAAGGGAAAATGCATTTATTTATTCTGCTCTATAAGTGCAATTGTAAAGAAAAGCACAAACTGTAAGTGTAGCCATTTAGTGATCCAAACAAGAAATTATTAATCCCAGGATTTAAGGTTGTTTTATACTTTAAACTCTAAAATTTAGATAAAACCTGACAACTTATAATGTAGCCCAAATTTACTTTTTGCCCACACAAAATGAAGACAGTATGATAAAGAGTCTTACAACATATTTTGGAATATCTGATTTCTATTCCAGAGTTTCTATGTGACCTTACACAGGTCACGTAATTCTGAAGGCCTTGGTTTACAGATCTATAAAATGAGAAGTCTGAAATAGATGGACGTCTTAGGTCTTTTATAGTTCCACCATTATACCTGCAGATATTTACTTGTTAAAAAGTGTTTCCCACTCAGGACATGATCCCATTTCACCATAAAGTGCTATCTTATTACTCTAAATTTGTTGTGTTGTTTTGGGTAGGTAGTATATTCATATGATTCAAAATTCAAAAGTGTATGCAGTGAAAAGTTTTCCTACCACACCTGTTCCTCAGTTACCTAGTTCCCTGCCTAGGAAGCAACAAAGGCTAACAGTTTCTTGTATATTTTTTTAAATTATGCATATACAAGCAAATAAGTACTATTGGTGTTTATTTACCCCTCATTTGACATAAGTGGTATATACAATGCATGATGAAATACCTTTGTTCACGTATCTTAGTTATTGTTCTCTATTACTTAGCAAGGAGTTTGTTGTTTTTATGGCTGCATAATATTCCATTAAGCTTTTTCATTATTTCATCAGTCCTCTCCGCTTTTGGATATTGAAGGGTTTTTTTAAAAATCTTTATTAAAAAGTATTGTGCAATGAATTACATTGTATATTCACCTTTTTCCATCTATGTGATTATATCTGTGCCCTTAATACTGGCACAGATGAATCCCCTATGCCTTAGTGAGATAATGGAGTCAATGCCCTGTTTGGTTCTAAAGTAAGCACAAGACCTTGGGTTTGATCCCCAGCACCACAAAAATAAATAAATAAATAACCTGAAGTAAGACTAGATATATGAAGTCGCATTACCTGAAGGACTGCTTCTACATTTAATCTCTAGAGGAAATAGGTGGTTTGTGTTCAGGGACAAACACAAATCTTTAAACATTAAAATCATACAGCACAGCAAGATTTTCAACAAGAAACATGAAAACAGACTGACTTCTGTGCTTCCAAATCAATGCTTATTCCAAAGCATATGCTATTTAAACTTATTTTTTCTTATACATTTGGCTAAACATGTAGTTAAATTTGTCTGTGATGCAACTGCTGTGCATTGTCATTTTACCAATAAGAAAACACCTAGAAGAAGTAAACAGTTTACCCAAATTTACTCAACACGGTGGCAGACCTGGGACTAACACCTAAACCTTCTAATTTCTTTCTTTTTTTCAGTTTTGGTGTTTTTTTTTAGTTTTATTGATTTTTTTTTTAATACACAACAGCGGAATGCATTATGGTTCTTATTACACATATAGAGTACAATTTATTTCTAATCTCAGACTATTCCAACATATCATCCAGCTTCGTAATTAAGTGGGTAGCTTCAGCCGTAGACCTGATCTGAGAATGCTCAGTGGTTAGGGACTGCTTTAGGTACATTTTTCTCTTCTTAGACCCTAGACTAACCTAGAGTTCAGAAAGCAGCAGTACATTTTTATAGCAACAAAATGACATTCTATAAGTACTTTTTGAAGTAATCACACAACATGCTGATTAGCAATCAGGAGGCCTCCCAATCAAAAAATTAAGCTTATATAATTTTTTTTTTTTTTTTTTTTGTGGTGCTGGGGATTGAACCCACGGCCTTGTGCATGCAAGGTAAGCACTCTACCAACTGAGCTACAACCCCAGCCCACACATAAGTTATATAGAGAAGCATTCCTAATTGAAACATAGTTG